CTGCTTAGTTTTGTGCCTGCCCTACAAAAGCTGACCATTTAAAAATCTTAATTTGCTTCAATAACAAAGAAGAAACCTCTCTTCTTAAATCTTAATTGATGTTGTCCCAGTGGCAGCGTGGTGCCTAATTCAGTAAGGTTTTCATCCCAGTGCCAAACTACAAGAAGTTTTGCAAATTGCAGTGTAATAGCACTAGCTTCCTGTAAAGCCTTAAGTTATATCCTTTTAAAAATTCGTATTCTATTTGGTAGCACCAAAGAAAGGTACAAACTTCAACAGAGAAAAACTTTATAACAACTTGCCTTCATGATAAAGCAGTAAACACGCTTCTTTTTCACATGCAATCACATAATAGAACTTAGTCCCTTTGCATTCTCTGCAACCCTACTGGCATATGATACAGAAAGATTGTTGGTATCTAGTAATTCTAGACATCTGGCTTAGATGTTAACAACAATAATATTAATATAAATGGTTATCTGTATTTGACAGTGGAGGGATAGGACAGCATACACGACTGCTTAGCATACTCTTCAATTACCCAGGTAAAACATATCCATATTCTAATAACTAAAGCCCACTAAATTGTTCTAATAAAGCCAGCTAAAAGAAACTTGGCATAGCCAAGGCACCCTACATCCAGTACTCTGGAAAGCTGAAAACTGCTCAAGTTGCTTTAGCTCCCCCTTTTTGCTCCTGTATGCGGCTACATTAAACCAAGTATTTTTAAGCAGTGCTGGAAGCTACTTCTAAGGATGGAACAGAGGCCACTCATTTATGTAAAGTTGCCTTAGTTTATAATAGGTACTTCTGAAATTCTTGTTAATATTCAGAAGGTGGTTATTTAATAGCCCACTAATGGAATTAGTCTCTCGTTTTGCCCTTTAAGCTCTATTCTGTGAATAAAAATGATTAAGAGAAACAGTTCAAGCATGTTCCAGTATAGCTACCACATAAAGAAATACTAAATACTAAAGGCAGAGTCAATTGCGTGCATTAATCTTTAATTAACAGCATCAGAGGAACTATAATCTAGTAGCTAGAGTATTGGATTAGCTACAAAAAGCCTTCATTTTAATCTCAGATCAGCTACTGATTTGCTGTGCACCTCCCATGAGAGGGGGAGAAGAAGCACCCCTCTAAGCTCTTAGTTTCCTTTTCATCTTTTGTCTGCCTTACCGATTTATTTTTGTGGCAGTTGTAGCAGAGGCACTCCCTATATGTGCAAAACCCCACACTGGCTCTGCAGTGACGGGTACGCAGCCCAACTACTAATTACAATTAACAGCAGTACTATCATCATCTAACCTATCTCAAGACAGTTTTCAATCTTTGGTGTTTCTGTAACGCTCTCAGAAACCTTACAGATAAACCAAAAAAAGGCAGCCTGTGGCACGGAGTAAGGAAGGCACACACATTTCCAACAAAAACACAATAGGGCATCTTTGAGCAATCTCCCTCACGCCCACAACTGCTATGCAATCCCCAGGCTGACAATGTATGAACCTGTTTTCTTGTTGGCCTTTTTCCAAACATCTAACTTTACAGCTTAGCTAGCCTCTCCAAAATGGATATCCACCAGCAAAGAACAGCATGATGCAGCCAAACAAAGCTTAGGATCTCTTTCCATCAAGCCCTGTCACTTCCCTTTCAAGCAGCCTTGTATTAGCACTTATTCTTCTCTCTCCTGCATTCTCCAGATCTAAGTTGTGCCAAATCTTGCTGCTTTCCCTCTGCAACCACAGCATCTCTAGAATCTATACTGATAGTGAAAGTTCTTTTTCTCACCCTTATCTCTAACTTTCTCAGAGTCCCACATGCTAATAGGCGCAAAACACTAACACAACCATCAGGCTCCCGTTCTTGCCATTAAGGGACACATACCTGTATTTCTGCAGACAGGTTCCTGACTCAGTCAGCATTTGCAAACCAAAGAGGGAAATATATTCTATTTAGAGTGATTTTGCATAACACACACTATCCAACTGCCTCAGCTTTTTCTCCCTTTTGTCAACAGGAAAATTTTTTCTTTATTTGTTTCACACCCACTAATTTCTGTACACACATACCCACTACTCAAACGTGACCAGAAAAGCACATGATCTCTGCAGCCCATTCCCAGCTGGTTCTGCTACCCCCCCAGTAACCTCTCAACAAAATTCCCTTTCCTTTCACCAGCTGAGAGGCAGGAATGCACAGCCCAGTAACAGCTGACGTTAAAGCAGAGCAGTTCCCTAGCTCTCAAGTAGTGTGTTATCGCTGTCTGTCCACATACCAGGACAATAAAGAACCTCTACTCTTCATGCAACCAGCTTGCCCCAGGTTGTCTCTGCATTCAGATATTTGGCTCTCCTTCCCCATGGTAGATAAAACACTCCCCCACAGGCAAAACTTCTTCCTAAGCGCTCAGTCCTTTGATCTCAGAAGCAGCTGGTGCACAGCTGCTCCCCATTACTTTTGCAGCTCAGAAACCTTTTGCATTTTCCTGTCCTCCCTCACACTCAGGCACAAAGGGCAAGAACACCACCAGCAGCCATCTTTCATTCTCATGCAAAAAATTTTTATCTCCAACTCATGTGCCCTGCCCTTGAATTACTGCCCACCTGGCCCAGTCCCAGCTCTTCCCTCCTAACCTGTTTCCCCAGGCATGCAACCAATGCTTTCCTGTTCCTTTTCTCAGCAAGAGTCTCCTAGGGGGGCACAGTATTCTGTCTGTCCTTACAGACAGTAGGGACCAGTTTGTTGTCCCTCATCCCATGAAAACCTTCCCTCAGGTCACAGTTGTTTGCAGGTGGTAAGAAAAAACTCAATTCCACCCCCCAGTTTCTCTTCTGTGCAACTACAAAGTGCAGCAAGTGCAGGAAAGTCTGCCTCTCTCACGGAGTCTAAGAGTAGATCAACTGCAGTAACCACTACCAACACAAGGTTTTCAATGATACTTCGTACAGGTTTAAAGAAAATGGAGAAAAGCCAGAAACAATTCAGCATCTCAAATAAGTTGCAAGATCCAGAGATGGAATTTTAATCCCTTCCTTAGATGGAAAAGCCATTTTAAACAACCACTGGAGGACAACTACGGATTGTAGGAAGCACCACAGCCAGATGACTTTGCTCTAACAGAGCTTCGAGAAATATTTACAGTCCCTTGCCTACGTACATAGGAGGCAAAGGGAACTGTTGACCAATCTAATGAGATTTCCCTAGATATCCATAAAAGATTAACCTTAATACTCACATGCCAAGTGGAGCTGAAATACCTGCTTCTCGGTTTGCCTTCCAGAATTGTCTCAGTGAGGCTATCACCGTGTACCCAGCAGCACTTATGCAGCAGCTGTTTCCATCAACGAACCCAAGGTGTTTTGCAACCAGGTGCCAATTAGCAAAATCACCTCACCTGGCCGACATTTCAGACCCAAGGCCAGTAGCCACCGCACTCCTGCTGGGAGTATTATGAAGCATATGCCTAAAACTTCACTCCTTTCTCTCAGTTAATAAGGGAAACAAACCCACCAATACAAGATTCTTACTTCTAGATGGAAGCTGTTTTTTTAAAAAGCAGTATATGTTACGCTTTTTTGTGTGCGTAGATACATCAGGGGGGAAAGAGCTAGTTTTACTAGAATCTGACAGAAAGATGAGCACATTCGCTGGAGCAGCTACAAACTTCATCAACTTTTCATAGACTTAAGATTTTTAACTTTGTATCAGAACTTCTGCTGCATGTGTAACTTCCAGGAAAAGCACCCAAGCTTTTAAGAGACCTTCTGATCAAGGGGAAAAAGGAAGACACTTCTGGGTTACGAGTCTCTTTTGTGAGAGTTGACACATGACCCAATCCCTCAACAGACACTTTCAAAAGCAGACTTTAATCAACAATTTGCATTGCCATTTGCATTGATGCGTAGTAATGAAACATAATGTTTGAACCCACCTTGTTAAATATTTACTAGTCAAGTGTCAAGCCAAGAACTGTCCCAGACTCTTGTCCATTCAGTTTGTGATCATGTGACATGTGAGTCTATGTCTGAACATGTGACAAGGTGGCAGTTCTGCTCCTGGTAACCTACTACAAACATCTCATGGCAGGATAATTTTGAAAAACAACGTAATAAATTTAGAAGTGTTTGCTGATTTGTCAGGTGTGTTTGTGAAATGTGTAACAAAACTTCAGCAAAAGGGGTTATGTTTAGTGGAGGTGTGTGACAAACAAATACCATCCAAGTAAATCATCCAGGATGATTCTCCTCACTGAAGAGAGCCAATAAACAGAAAAAAAAAAAATGAAATTCAACTGCTTCCCATGGTTTGTTCTGCTTTTCTGTGTTACTCTCCCTGATAGAAGATCTTGATGTTTCCACTACAGCTATGCCCTAACTTCCACTACCAGTCTCTCACTCCATCAAGTGAACAACTTCCATTTTAGCACTGTGTTGGTGCTTTAATGATACATACCCACAAAACCCAAATAACACCCACCCCTACTCCCCTGCAAACCACCATCCAACCTGTCATGGATTTCAACAGGAGTTAACCTGGATTCTTTATAGCTGTCTATGCTCTCAGCCTTCCTGCTTATTCTTAATAAAACCGGTTTCACTTCAACTGCGTTGTTTGAGGGTATGTCCACGGAGTCCTTCCCAGAAACGTGTTTGCAATAACATGACAGTGAAATCTTAGCTCCACAAATTGTCCTGTAAGCAAGAACCACAAGTGACTTTTAAAAGTAGATATTTGGCGGAGGTGTGAGTGTGCAGAAGTCAATTAAGAAAGCAAGCAGCAGCCTTTTGCATCACTGTTAAAAATCAACTTCTCTCTGACAACGAACTGTGATTTGCAAAATCAAAAAAGCAGGTCAGCAAGCCTTCTTCCATGTTCAGTGGGTGCTCCTCCCACTGTGATGCACCTCCTTTCTCCTCACCCTTTTTCTCCTCCCCATAACAAATTATGGAGAACATTTTTTTTATTTGCCAGCATGTAGGCTGAAATGTCTTAAACACTAATTTGAAGGTTTTATAGATCTTTAATACAAAGAAAGAAAACACTGAATCCCAAAATGGGATTTCCCCCCAAATATTTTAGCTAGCAATCTGTAAAGCTAACTTTCAAATTCCAAAATAACTTCTGGATAAAGGGAAACCACTTACAGTCAATTCCTGAGAACTTAAACTCTCCAAAATATATCTTTTTCTTAAAGCTAGAATTGTGAAGTCTTTCAGAATGCACTGTATGACAGTGAAGAAACAAAAATCCATTCCTTCCATTGTAGGTCATCCTTTAAGAGCTATAAATAATGGAAAAAACATATACAGCCTCTTAGAACCTGTTACCTAGTTAGTTTTATAAAAATCATCTTATTACATTTCTATACAGTAACATGGGATTATTAGAAAATTTCTTCTGTAGACATAGCTTTATGGAGGACAATCATCATTAGTTCCTACAGCCATCTGAAGCCAATAGTCCAGATTTCTGAAAATTACAAAGTTGTACAAGTTCTCTCCTCCCTTGTGGAAACCGTGTTCACTTTCTCTCCAGGAAACAGGGCTGTCTGCAAAGCCATGCACAGTTAAGGTCAGCCAATATGCCAGTTTTGGTTCACCAAAATAGCAACTGCAAGGAAGACAACAAGGTAGTCAATAATTACAACAGAATAGACAGTGTGTTCAAGTATACAATACAAAATAAAAAAAAATAATTAAAAAATCAAAACCCCAGGCACTTTAGTGAAAATTTGCAATTAACAGTTAACAACCCCCATCCCCCTCAACCCTCTCCCTCTTCCGCCCTCCCCCTCCCCCCCGGGTTTAGTACATAATAAATAAATTAAAAAGAAAATATTCTATCAGAAGACATTAGGAAATTAAATATGATTGACTCTTGATTATTCCTACCATACTCTTAGACACGGCAAACCTGCAAGTTACAGCAATTAAAAAAAGTTCTAAGTTGTAAAGTAGCTGTTCTCAATTTCCTACAGCACACATTGTCTTTCAGAAAATAGAACGCTTACTGAGAACACTTGCTATCAGGGCAAAAAAGACACTGGAGGAAAAAACATAATCAGGCTGTGTTTGACACAAATACTTTTACCACCAGAAAGGAAATGGATTACAAATAATCAAAGCCAGACATTATCCACTGCTCTTTAAAGTACAGAATAAAAGCCAAGGAAATTTGTGTTCCAACCCTAGCTTACAGAGGCTTTCTGCATGAAATTTGAAAATTGCTCAGAGTAATGATCATATTCCAGAAAAAGCAAAAGCAATATTGTTGTGAGTCTGTTCTACAATTGTTAGCCACCAGGCACTTTTAAGAATTGTCTCACATGTGGAGCAAGGAGCTTCCAGAACTTGCTATCAGTAGCACTAATATACAATACAGGCAGATACCACACTGATCCATGACCAACTGGTGTCATGTAGTTTGGTACTGAATTAAAACTACAGCTGCCCTGGTCACCACTATCCAGTGTCCCATGTTACAACATTTGATTCAAAAAACTCACTGTAAGTTAATTTATTGTAATAGCATAATAACCTTGAAGTACCTTGTGATACTCTTCTTGGTATCATGAAGGGATTTCAATCATATTTTCCATCAGTAGTTAAAAATACTATATCAGACATATTTGAGGGCATCTGATTTTCATAGACAGGGGGAATTTGAAAAATGTGGAGCTCAGTAGAGTCACTGTTTCTTAGAAATTAAGATAAAAAGCAAAGTCATTACTAGAATACACGGCAGCCATCCTCAGTTTGGAGTATCCCAACTGTTTATTGCTTTTTTTATACCAATGTGAAGCTTCCAGTTCATTTCCTAATTAAAGTCTTTGTTTTGTGTATTTTGCTATTTACCTCCAACAGTACTACTGAAAAGTATTTAAAAGTTATTTGAAAATTAAAAAGTGTTAAGAGTACAAACGTTTTAGTAGTGTTCTTCTACCAGCCCTTACCATAGCTGCTCCAATAACTGAATTATCTTCTCAGGAATTATAAAACCTGTGATTGTGCACAAAAAAGCTTTTTCCACCACTGTGTTGGGCTGAGGACAGCAATAGGTTGATAAGAAGCTAGATGATTTGTTGTCTCTGGAAAAAAACCCAAACAAAAAAAAAAGCAACAACAAGAAATAGTCTTAGTAATCAAAAACTGTAGCAAACAAGTAGTGTCTATGTATATCACGTAAATTAGTACTGAACCAACTAATTGCAAAGCAATTAATACGCAAGACGTCATGGTGCTGTGGATTAACCCTGGCAAGCACCTAAACACCACAGCCACTCACTCCCCGCTAGTGGCACAGGGGAGAGAATTGGAAGGGTAAAGTGAGAAAACATGTGGGTTGAGATAAAGACCATTTAATAGGTAAAGCAAAAGTTGCATGTGAAAGCAAAGCAAACTAGATAATTCATTTATTACCCTTTTAATTTCCTCCAGATTTTATTGCTGAGCATGCCACTGTATGCTGTGGGATCTCCCTCTGGTCAGTTGGGTTCTGCTGTCCCAGCTGTGTTCCCTCCCAGCCTACTCGCTGGCAGGGCAGCAGGAGAAGCAGGAAAGGCCTTGACACTGGGTAAGCACTGCTCAGCAATAGCTAAAACATCCCTGAGTTATCAACACTGTTTCAGTCATAAATCTAAAACACAGCACCACACAAGACCAGTAAACATGGGCACCCCCAAAAACACAGAGACTTACAAGACGACTTGCACAAGACGTACAACAAATGCTTAAGTGCATAACAAACTTCCCTCTTACAGACGTGTCTTAACTCTTACTTAGCTCTTCCTTAAAATAGTGGCTCTCCTTACTTAAAACGTATTCAAAGATCAAACAAATTCAAATACTCACAAGCTAACTTGATTCCAGACAGCACCGAGCCATTCAAACAGTTCCTCTGTACTGCAGGACTCCTCTGGCTTTCCATGTAGTTCATTACTTTGTAACACTGGACACTGCAAGTCCCTTAATGTGCTGATTGTTATCTTTGGCTTCAGAGCCTTTATTTGGTTCTTTGAAAAGTATGACATCAGTGTTGATCCCTCTGCACCTTAACAACACAACACCACAAAGAGCTGTTACAAAACTACTAAAAAAAAGGAGCACTGAATACATGAAACCTTTGTATATATACAAGAAAATGCAGTGTGTAAACTGCTTACATGCTGTATTCTTTGGCAAAAGTCATAGAATCTTCAACTTCCTTATCTTCTTTGAAATAAAACAGCACAAGATCCAGCAACTCAGTATAGCTCAGTAAAATTTACTGTTTAACTAGCACATACACATCTGTCAATAGAAAATTCAAGCAGAATTAACGTGGCAAGTAATAACATGAACTTATTAGAAAGAGGAATTCAGAGTGTTCCTGAACACATGCTAACTGCTCCCCAAAACAAAATGGTCTGCAAATGCACTCACACTCTAAGTATAACACATGCCTATATTCATGAGGCCAGAGAGCACTTTACCCTACTATTGCCCATATGTACATTCCCTCTGTGTTCGTGCACAGGTACTCACTGCTGTAGAAGGGTGATGTCTTATACTATTAGGTCATTTCTAGCTCAGCATCTCTAGAAATCCCTTGGCCATTGCACCATGAGAGGGAGAATACATGTGGTAGATATACACAAAGATAATGAATCTCTAAGGCCATGCAAAGAAAATTAAGCTCAAATGAATTCATGCAGCATTCCCTCCAAAACCACAGAGTGTCTAGAGGGATCCCAGCATCAGTAGTTCACCGAGAACTGTCTCCTAAAGACAGCATGACTTCTAGAACCATGAACAACTCCAGTGGAATAAATTCCTGCAGATGTCAGGAATACTTTGCAAAAAGCTATACTGTCATTTAAATTCTTCTGGAATAAGCCTTCACAGCTGCAGAAAGTTTCCCTTTTCATTGTCCTAAAAGGCACTCAAGTCTCCTGTCCAGCATGTCAGGTTAGTGGATCTCTCAGCTTTCAGCTGAGGACAAGAACACCTAAGAATCCTTCTGAGAGGTCTGATCCCACCAAAGACCACATACTCGATTTCCTAGATGTGATGGCAAACCTAATTTAGAAGCCATAAGGTTTTCAAGGAAGACTCTTGATTTACAGTAAATTAAGAAATCATCTTCAGATAAGGTACATTCAGAAGATGACATCATCCCAGAAAAACCACCAGAATCAGTCACTGAGACTAGAGACCCTCTTAGCCACCTGGCTAAGGTGTCAGCCATCCCAGAACACCATTATCCCTGAACACTTTTCCCTCACAGTGGAAAAGTGAGCAGGTAACTACAGGTTTGATTTATCAATGATGTCAAGATGATACCTAGGATAGTCTGGGGGATAAGAATTGAAAAGAAAAGGAAGGGGGGAGTATAGAGAAATCACAGTATATCACTAATCTCACTTTACTAGGATGAAAAGAAACCAACCCAAACCAAACCAAAACGAAACAAAAAACCAGTGATAAGTCTTCAAATGCAGTATGGCTGTAATAGTTAGATGTACCTTGATGGACTTCTGGGAAAGGCCATGTTTCTTCAACTCCACTAAGTGATTCAAAACAGCAGCCACAATTCTAAAAACCTGACCTAAGCAAGCATATTGCAAATTAAGAGATATTAACCAACTTCCTTTTTGAAGCAGTAAGATAACTGACTTGGAATCAATTCTCCTAAATTTGAAATTCCAGATAATGTATTCTATTTTTATATAGTAACAATGGGTTTCTAGGTGACCAAGAAATAATACCTTATTCATGAGAAGTCCAGAATTCTGAAGTCCGGAAAAGCATTTAAATACCGTAGGAAAGGCATGTATGAACAGAAGAAATTCAAGAACATGATAGAGTTCACTATGGAATACAATATCCAAAGCTTGCTATCCAAATGATGAACTGCCTCAACTCCATCAGCCATATTTATCCCATCAAGGACAATCATGTGGGAAAGCAGAAAAAGGACGGCTAACCTGATCTTTTTTAGTCATCCTTCAAAAAAGGCTGTCCAAGTACCAAAGAGCACAGTGACAAAGACAGGCAGCCATTGAATTCTTGTTAATTGAGTACTTTTATACAGACATATTTAATCTGAAGTGTGTTAGAACAGATCATCTTTCTTCAGTCTGTACTTCTTATTGGCATTTGTAGACCAGCAAGTTCAAAGAATGGATAATATTACCCTAGAATTCTTAGTCAAATATAAGAAATTATAAATTTTTAATGTCTGCTCTGTATGAGAGCCTCAGCTATAGTCCTAACTTCAAGAAGTCTCAAACACTACAGTCAGGACTCCAACAGAACAATTCCTCTAGCTACAGCATAGCTTTCCATGTCAACAACAACCAGGCACATTGTCAAGCTTTTTTTGGGAGCAGTGAATTTCAGCCAATAAACATTTAAAATTGTCATAGAGATTATAGCAATGGAAAAGAGAAGAAAATGTTGGTTTGTCTCTGTCATTAAAGACGTAGAGACACACTATATTCCCTTTTTCTATTCCTCCTGGAGTTAGAACCACTAAGTGGGAAAAATGGGTATGAAAGCAAAAAATCCTGCTTTTGGAAAGTGACGCGAATGTTTACAGCATTTGCAGCAGTGCTGGCCATAGCAAGAAATACCAGTTATCAGCAGGAAGGCTGAAAGCAGAATGTTCACAGAGGACACGGATGCTCTCAACAAAATACATCCCTCTTTTCCCCTTCCAGCAGAATCTACACAATGCCTCGTGTCTATTAATAAAAATCTATAAAAGTTTTATTTTTGTCAGTACAAAGGAACTAAGAGTCTTTCGTGTGTCATGAGCATGAGATTCCTGCACAGAAAGGCATTTAGATTTCACTCCATATTCAGGAAACGATTGACCTGACCTGGTTTTTGGACGTAAGAAAGTGAGGAAAAGTAATGCTATTCTTCCTGAACGCTGCTACACTGGCAGTCTCAAACATAAGAAACATACTGGCCCTGGAGGCATTTTGCTCTCTGCCCAGGGTCAATAAATCCAAGTAAGCTGAGCCTGAAGATCCACCACCTTAGTTGGATTTATGTCACCATTTAGGGTAGCAACAGTCTTTACTGTGACTCTTTCTGAAGATTACAAGCATGGGAACTGCAAGCCTTTAAAAAAATTTCTGTATAACAAACAAGGAAGGATCTTTGTCATATGATTAGTACTTAAAAAGGGTGAGGGGAAACATGAAAGACTAAAGTGAAACACGGGACACTGCTAAAGGAGCTTGTAAGCAGCTTTGATTTCTCCTATCAGTAACTTCCTCTCAGACTTGGTCTTGAAGAGCCAGGAAAAAACATTAAAAGCTACATAGCTATGAGGAAGAAAAACTTTTTTTTTTCAGTACAAACTCCTGCAGTTTTTGTCAATTTCTACCCAAATATTACATATCCCTAGATACAACCTGTTCTGAGGTAAGACAAGCAACTGAGGACTTTAGAAAATGACCCTCAGAGGAAGAACAATATTTAATTCCCAGAAGAAATATTAAATAATTAGAAAACAGTAGATAAACGAATACTAGAAGAAAGGTGATTTGAGACAATACAATTTCTTATAACAATAACCCCTTACTCTGCTCCAATTTCACACAAGTGCTTTAGAATAAAATGATAGAATAGCAGATTATGTGTATCAGTGTACACAGCACATGACAGAAATAGGGACTCTGTACATGTCCTATAACTCCTGATGAAACTACTATTCCCCATCTCAAGTACTACACCAAATATATAACTTCTGTGTATTAATAAAAAACTCAAAAAAAAGTGTATTAATAATGGTTATGTATGTCACAAATTTATGAAGAGGCAGCACTATCAAATAGGCAAAGTCATGCTAGAAAGCCTGGCCAACAGAGACAAGGAAATGAAGCAACTAGTCTGTCTCCTGTGAATCACTGTTGTGTTCCTGAACGGCAATGTTCTGCTGCGTAGGAAGTAACACACACCCCAAACAAACAAACAAAACAAACAAAAAAAATCCCACCCAAACACATTTAAATCTAATTCTTCCCTCCACTAAAAACGCATTTGGACAATCACTAGAAAAGAACAGTAAACTAAAAGTATTTGGACTTCATGGCATTTCTACTCCAGTTTTACACTTAATTCCTATTTACCTGTATTATACCAAGCCAGTAGGAAGTCAAATTTTAAAGGTTTCTTTTCTTTCAAGGCCCAAAGCACTCTTTTATGTTTCTTGCTATCAGGGTGAAAGCCAGAATCAGCCAAGTCAATAGTTATAACTGCAAAAATGTAAAAAAAAAGGCAATAGTTACTCAATTGAAATAAATTTCGATATTAAGTTCATTAAAAACTAAAAGAACACAAAGAAACCAAAGAACATTAAACTTCCTTTTAAAATATACAGCATCTTTATAAAGTATTTGATTATGCAAATATGACTCCCCATTATGTAAATAAATATTCACCTCCTGCTGTCCTTATTTTTATGTAATCTGGAACTGCCTTCTAATGACTGGAAAGACAAATTCCTTTTGTAATGGCAGTGACAGAAGTCCCAAAACAGTACCTTAAAAATATCTTGGTAATTAGGCAAGCTATTAGCGCTAAAAAATCTAGAATTTCTAACATCAAAAGCCACATCTATAGCAATGACACTTTTTCAACTGCTTTCTTCTGGTGAATTGGTCCCAGGCTAAAAGTTGCATTTATTTTTCAGAGGGAAATTTCATCATAATTTTACCTGACCAAATGAATAGTAAAATGATGCCCCATTTCGCCAAAATTCTTATTATAGATAACAAGGTTCCCCTTCTGAAGTTTTTATGTAACTATTTATCAACCGCTGCAGGTTAATACACTTGAGATCGCAGAGTGTTCATGGGTTTGTTTTTATTTTTAATTATTTACAAAACAACAACAACAAACCCCAAAATCACACTCAGTATGTCTCCTCTGCAGCTGTTAAAAAATTACACCATTTTCCAAGCACTTGGTATACAGAGACTACCATTTTTGATGTTTCTAATGTAATACAATTCTCCCGTTCAAGCAAGCAGTCTTGAGTGAGGCTCATGACTGTATATACAACACAATGAAAGACCCAGAAATTAAAAAAAATTATAGAATACCCAAAAGATCACACATTTGTTCCCTTATAGCTGCTGTATTATTTGGAAAAATTGTTTTTTCCTCTTCATGAAGTCCTTGTACCTGCATCTGGAAAAATATGACCTAGACAATAACCAATTCTAAGGAAAGGGAAGTTTCAGCACTGCTGGTTTAACATCCTAACAAGGTGCTTCACAGACAGATCTGAAATAAGCACTGTTAATATAAATAATACTTACTATATCTCATTACTTTTTTGCCAGAATACCGAGATGGGTGACCTTGCAGTCCAAGTTCCTCATAAGTATCCTTATCCACTGACAGAATTAGTTTCCCTATAAACAAAATAAACTTTAATACGAGTAATCTTCTACTTAGTTCCCTTTCAAGTCTTCTGAAAACCATATACTTTATACAATGTTAGCTCTGGATCAACAGTATTATTAATGTAACCCAGACTCCTTATTTCCAGTTAAATGGATTACCAGATTAACCCTTAAAGAAAAGACAGGTTATAACTCAATTACTCTTTTTTTTTATCAAAGAACATCTTATGAACTAGAATGACAAAAGTATAAGATTATTCTTGAGAGTCATAGCTTTTTTAACTGTACTATCCACTTCATTGCTTCAATTTTTTCTCCACTTGTCCCCTAGCGTTTTCTGTGTCATTGGCTGAGCACTACACCACACCAGGGCCTGACTTAGTAAACATTCATGCGTGCACTGCTCAACTAAATATACAAAAGCAGTTCCTCCAACTCCAGTGGGACGATTCATACTGAGTAAACTACGCCTATTAGCGATGAGCTGATACACGCTGGAACAACTCCACTTCCACGTTCATAATCCAAATCTGGCAGCTGCCACTTGGTACAGAATTTCACACAACAGATCTCTACCGCAGTCTTTAGGTTCTACTGTACAAGTAGCAGTATAATATAGAATACAAACAAATAAGGTTGTTGCTGAAGATTTCAGATGGTGGTATCAACAGGAACTGTAATGCTGTCTCTGCATTAATTGTGCATAGCTTGCAATAGTTGTATCACAAACTCAAACACTATGAAGTATACATTTTGCTAGGACTGTGCAAATAGAGCACATAAAGGAATCCATCCTCTGAAGAATCCAAATTTACTTATGTCCTGATGTGCACCCGTCATATTATAGCCCCTAAAGGGCTGATAGACCGATTTGTGTTTCTATTGTATCTGATACACTGTTAAATGGAAATAAGATGACATATTTGATGCACAAAATAGCTTCATTATTTTCTCTGCGTTAAAAAACTCACCTGAGATGTAACATTTTTTCATAAAACTGTGATGGAACTGCAGAGTATTTTAGCACATCACATAATTCTCAAAGAATAAACACTGAATATTTTAAAAGTGTTCCTAAGCAGTGCTGATAATTTTCTTATTTAGTACAAATTCTGTCTTTAACACCAGGAGGAAAGAAGCAGTTGGAACAATGTTTTCACAAAAATAATCCTCTGTAGCAATTGCAATAACTGTTGAAGTGCTGATGATCTGACACTATATAGAAGTGAAAATGACTTTTTTTTTTATTTCCTTCAAATGAAATAAATGACTTAACAGCATGAATGAAAAAATAAGTTAGAATGAGTATGTTTCTGATTCAAAAATACTTCTAATAAAGTTGGCAAGTACAGCATTACATTTCCCAGTTTAAGACATTCCACATAAAAAAAAACCCAACAACAAACAAATCCCAAGACCAGAATCAATATTTACCTATTACTAAAACCAAACCAAAACATACCATTTGGTAGCAGAGCTGCAGTATTATCTTGATCAATTTTTGTGTTATAGGTAAGTGCGTAGCATGAACCTTTAATAGTAAAGCAGAAAACCATGATTACACAGTCTCTAAAAACAAACAATATGAACAGTGACAATATGAAAGATTTACTTCAAGATAATCAAACATGAAAAATACCATTTGAATCACTCTTAAACCCTTGTGTTTTCATCAGCTTTCTTCCACATTCTCAAGCAAAACAGCATTTTGTTATTATTTTTATACTTTATATACCTGAGGGTACAACGTTTATCAAACGCCAAAAGCCAAACAAATGGGGCCTGCTCGATGAAAACAGCACAGGCTGAGTATGCAACTGCAAGTTGGCTGGGCAGAGGCTACATCTTTCTTCACATCCTCTTTGCTCTTACTGTGTAAGGATGAGCTGCTGCAACTCCATTAGCAAAAAAAAAAAAAAAGCAGCATTTTCTTTCCTCCCTCTTTTTCTCTTGCCTGCTGTGGTACACAGCTAACACAGTTCTGTGTTGAAATATGAAGGAATGAGAAAGGGGGAAGATAGCTGATTTCTGCAGGAATCTGCATAAAGATGATGTGTAGAAGAAACAGGTGTGAGGATACAGGGAAGCCCTCGATATCTGGATTGCAGAATTAAGATGGAATAGGGAGAAATGAAGCCGGAACAATCATAGAGGTTCTGAACCCAGTGGGTGTAAACAAATGTTGACACACCACAAAGCAGAAAAAAGCAGATGAAGAAATTAATACAGAATTTTCTTAGTATTTTCCTTCCCTTGCTTTGAAATACTTTTCAGAATAAATAAAAATAAATGGATTTTACTGTGTTACAAAATAAAATACACTATTACTACATCTGTCATATTCTGATTTCCTTCTTACCTTTCTTTACAAAAGCATCGATGAATTCATGAGCGACCAATTCATGAACCGATAAATTCCTCACCACGTAGTACTCTCCAACATCCGCAATGGTACTTTTCAGCACTTCAGGCAGTATGCCACATTCAGGGATCAAAAGAGACACCTATTAGGAACATATTTGTAATGTAAATCATATCCTAAAATCTGTTCTGGAAGAAAAACAAGAAATACAAAAGAAAAACTCTACTTTTCAAAGATATCATTATATCGTAACAAAATGAGATGAAGAAAAAATAATATCGGGTCATTGTCTTCAAAATGTATCAATTTGCACGTGCACTAAATACATTATTGGGGGGGTTGTATTTTACATGCATTTACAAATGCATTTACAATAGCATTTGAGGTGTTACACAGAGGCATGATTTTATACAGCATCAGTTACCTAAAGATCTTGTTTCATGTCATTATAAATTTAGCTTGATGTCACACTGGAACATTTCCTTCAGCTCTTGACGGAGGAAGCAGCTACAACTAAAAATGTAGGCTAAGCATTTATGGAATCTCAGTGGAAAAGCGAAGACCAAAGTAGAATTTAAACTAGTTTTTGAATCAATGCATTCTCCTCTGTAGAACATTCTGGAGGTCAGAAGAGTGAACATCTCATTAGAATAAAACTTCAAAATGGGCTTACAATTTTCAAAAAAAGTCTTAAGGTGTATGTTAAGGCTAGCAGTTCTGTAGCAGGTTTCTAACTGAAAGTAGGAAACAGATTTTCAAAAGGTATGAGCACCTAGATTTTCTTACTATACTCAGGTTCAATCTTTTGGTCAAATTGCCTATCTTTAATTTCCTTTCTGTTTAAAATATTTCCTGTACATGTTTCATAAATCAAGTCCAGGAGAACAGGGAATATAAGGTTATGACATGGACAAGTATCAAGTTTCCCAACAAGTATGCCCAAGCATAAAGGTCTGTCTTCCTGCTCCTTCCCCCTCCATCGCTCAAAAACCATTTTTCCAAAAGCTAACAGGGCACAAGTATATATCTGTTTCCCTTTGCACACATATGCAAGAGAAGTAACAACAGACAGATGAGCTGCCTGCCACACAAGCTTTCCTGTCAACTGTTAAAAAAAATTACTAGGGAAACAGCAAGAGGATCTGACGGAGACTTTGCAACAGCCAAAGGAGAGCAAGCTGGCAAAAAATGGACTTTGCAACTTTAAGTTGTCCAAAACAACAAATCAGTTGATGACAGCACGACATCAGATCTGTTGGTGTGGGTCCAGAGGAGGGCTACAAAGATGATCAGAGGGCTGGAGCACCCCTCCTACGAGGACACGCTGAGAGAGTTGGGGTTGTTCAGCCTGGAGAAGGCTCTGATGAGACCTTAGAGCAGCCTTCCAGTACCTGAAGGGGGCCTACAGGAGAGAAGGGGAGGGAGTGGAGCGGTAGGATGAGGGGTAATGGTTTTAAACCAAAAGAGGGGAGATTTAAATTAGATATTAAGAAGAAATTCTTTACTGTGAGGGCAGTGAGACACTGGAACAGGTTGCCCAGAGAAGCTGTGGCTGCCCCATCCCTGGAGGGGTTCAAGGCCAGGCTGGATGGGGCTTTGAGCAACCCGGTCTGGTGGGAGGTGTCCCTGCCCATGGCAGAGAGTTTAGAGCAAGGTTATCTCTAAGGTTCCTTCCAACTCTAACCATTGTATGATACTTCGGCAGAAGCGGGGACGACATGAGAGAGGGGACTTGCCGGGTGCGCGTGCAGCCAGCCCTCAGCCTGAACTCCCCTCAGCGCCGAGGCCCTCCCTCGGCCCCTCACCGCTCGGGTGAGGAATCCCTCTAGGAGCTCGCGGATCGCCGCCGCCCCC